ACTATTTTTTCTCAGGTAGCTGATTTCTAAAAGGGCAAAAGTTTCACCCTCATGTTGCTGTTGAAACTAAATTCATGATACATACTCTGCACAGCTTTATCAACAGCATACTGACTTCAAACTATTTTTTGTTATTTTCTCAGAGCGCTGAGGACTCGTTGGTTTATTCTGCACCGACTTTTTCTAAGATTAGAACGGACAAAAGAGAGAAGAGAAAAGTCAAAGCAGCAACAGAAGAACGATCTACACCGGTCAGAACTCCTCCGACTGGCTAAATAAAAATATGCTTAAAACATTAAATAATTGATTTGTTATATTTTTAAAGACTGTGAGAAATGTAAAACCTTGCAGCAATGTGACAATAAGAAGAGAATATCCTTTGTAATTTTTAACTGTGTATGATTTGACATGTTTGACTCATCTGTGTTCAGTCATTGTTAGATTGGTTTTATCACCAAAGGTAGAGTATTAGCACCATAAACAAATATATGCAGTCGTGCACTAAACTAAAGCTGGAAGCTGCATGCTCACTCTGTGTTGGGTAATGTTTGGTCATACAAAGTGCACTGTAGTGGGGACAAACTACAGGAAAAAGAGGGAAAGTGGAGCAGCTTACCTCTGTTTGGTAGTGGAGTGGTCTCTGATGCAGTTACAGGAAAACTTCTTTTATGTATTTTTATTGAAGGGTTTTAAAACAGGATAGGATAAGATAATACTTTATTGATCCCCAGAGGGGAAATTCGGGCGTTGCAGCAGCACAGACAAGAAATTTCAAAATACACATTAAACAGATTAGATAAATAAAAATAAAAACAGGGGGTATATGCAAAATGAATGATGAAGTTAACTATGCAGGGAGTTGAGACAGTATTTGTAGAGAATGAAAAGATAAAGTGAAAAGTGATGATTAAAGTGACTTGGTATGATAACTAGCAGCAAGTAATGTAAACAGCAGAGAAGAGAGGCAGTGTTGTACCACAGTAATGCAGAGTGCAGTTATATAATATAATGTAGTATAATATAATATAATATAGTGCAATATGAACAATATAGTGTAATATAATGAAATGTTATATAATATAGACTAATATAATAATATAATAAAATATATAGAATGTACAGTATTTATGTCTATATACATTGATGCTAAATAATAATAATAATAATAATAATAATAATAATAATACAATGTTAGTAATGATAATAATAATGAAGCAGGTCATGTGGGTAGTGTTTTATGGGGGTGAAGTTTAGTGTCAGGATGGACTGTTATTGTTGTCATAGGCTGCTGTTGTACAGTCTGATGGCAGTGGGCACAAAGGAGCGCCTGAAGCGCTCTGTTTTGCACCTGGGGGGGATGAGGTGTTGGCTGAAGGAGCTGCCCATCTGCCACAGCTCACCATGTAGAGGGTGAGAGGGTGTCCTTCATCCTCCTCTCACCCACTGTCTCCAAACTGTCCAGATCAAGACCCACTACAGAGCAGGCCTTCCTCACCAGCTTGTTCAACAAGATTAAGATTAAGATTTAAGATTTACTTTTATTGATCCCCGCAAGGGGAAATTTCAGTTTTTACACTCTGTAAGTCATGAACACACACATAGTTGAAATATACACACACATGCACATACAGGATCCTATGGATATGCACTATGCCACAATAATGACAGAAACAGGCACTACATACATATACATTAAGACTAGACTTAAAACATTCTGTTTTGATAAATCTTATAGTAAGGGCTGGCGCAGGTATAGATGAGCTCGTAGTTATGCTGCTATAGGCTTAGACTACCTGGGGAACTGGCATCTTGAGCTCTTATCTCTCCCTCTCTCTCTCTCTCTCTCTGTGCATTCAGATCACATTACTGAATGTCGCTATCTGTTAATCTTAGTTACTAAGCACATATTTTCCTGAGCTCTCATGTTCCAGTGTCCTCTGGATCGTTGGTGGACAGCCTGCCTCAAGTTTCAGTAGATGGCTGTTCATCATGAGGAAAACAACGTTTTTTCTTGCCACTGTAACTTTGCTAAATGTTGCTAAGTGCTATGCTCATGATGGATTAACACTGGGTCTTTGTAATATAGCAAAGAGTAAGGGCTTTTACCTGCTTTTTGTAAAGTGTCTCGAGATAAAAACTTGTTATGAATTCACGCTATACAACAAAAGATTTATTTATTGATTGAAACAGCTACAGGATACCTCCTCAAATATTTAAGCATTTTGTCTGCTGGTCTAAAAGCATTGTGAAAAGTTAATCTGCACATCTGCTGTGAAAACAACAAGCAACGCTGCATATGCTGTGGTGGGTTTGTTGGGCTGCTTCTCTGCCATTTGACCGCCCTTTGAGGTTGTCTTCTCAGAACAGGCCTAACTATGAACTTCAACAGGATGTGAACAGAGGGGAGAGAAATACTAGCCTTCAGCAGGATCATTTCAGGGTGTGTTTGGTCATTTGCTCATTAGCAGTGCAGTTTTCTTTCTGTATTATGCCGTATTCCTTATAATTACATTGGTTCTTACGTATGCATTGTGCAGCACAGCTCCTCCATACTTTTAAAAATGTTGTTTTTATTGTGTTTAAAAGATGCAATTAAAGACATCTTAATACATGTAAAGGTATGTGAGGATTCAGTCACTGATAATGTGTGCAGGCTGCTGCTTAAACACTGCTCCCAGTTTAAGAGTAAACATGATTCAAGACCACAGTCTAACATCTCAACAATAGGCACCCCCACCCCTCCATCAGTCTTTTTTCTAAAGTAAGTTTCTATTTTAAAGATTCATAAAACAAAAACGTGTGATGTCATCCCTCTTGCCCTTTTAAAACACTAACACTTTAGAGCAGGTCGATGTTGACAGGCCTCAAACTGAGAGTGAGAGAACAAGTAAAGCCCCTCTGTGTTAACACCTCTGTTTGATGCCTGACCACAGCAGTGCTTAAGTTTCCATGTGTCATTTGTTTTTTTCAGCGCTGACTTTAAATGTCTGTTTCTGTCTAAGTGTTTGCATGCACAGCTCTGCACACAAAGGAAATAAGTGAGAATACTAGACATGATGAGCCTGGTAACACCACAAACCATGATGCATTGGTCTTGGTTTTAATTACTGCACATTTAAGAACCCTTTGGACAGCTCGCTTATTTCCTTTCTGTAAGGAGGTTTTTATAGTGATGAACCAGACTGCATTATGTTGCCTCACAAGGTCTCATGTTCATGTCTATTATCAATGTATCATCAGGTAACTCTCAGATTCTCCTGAATTCAGTCCCTCGGTCTGGTAGCTGATGAGGTGCCAGGTCATTCACTTCCGTAGCACTGCTGAAGTACCACTGAACAAGCCACTGAGCCACCTTAGGATATCTTCTTCTTATTATTATTCTCATTTAAAATGTTGTAATTTTCTTCCTCCAATGAGGGCATGAGACAAACATTTTGAGAACCACTGACTTAGTCTGTCCATCCAGTCTTGATGATCTGCAGTCAAAGCAGCAAAGCATAATATGCGGATTCAAGCTTACCAATTTTAACCACAGCAGCAGGCCGTCCTCACCAACAAACCCAAGGAACCTACAAGACCTCTGAGCTCAGGAGCTCCCAGGAACATATGTGGTTGGTAACAAAGATTTACAGATAGCGACAGGCAGTAATATGATCTGTAAAATAGTCAATCAATCAATCAATTGTTATATAGTCAAATCACACAGAAACAACACACAAGATGCAAACACTTCTATGCATACAATAATGGTAAACATGAAAAAAGGATGGTGACCTCCTGGAAGCACAGGAGAGGAGGAGGAGCTCTGTTGTGGAGCATAAAAAAACATGAACTATTTAAAAACATGCGAGCCCCAACACTCACAGATGAGGATGTCCGTCACACAAATTAAACTATTGACAAGGAAATCAAATCCATTGTTAAGTTAGAATGTTAAAAGTGTTAAAAATCCCAAACAGAGACACGTGAACAAGGTACAGTCTCAGTGATCATAGACTAGAAATTCAAACAGGCCGTCATAAGAGTTGGAAAACCTAGATGAGAGAGAATGTTTAAAAACTGTAAATTTGAACAAATAGAAACAGAGGTTCACTTTCTCGTCCTCTGCATCCATATGAAGCTGTTGTATGAAGTCGAAGTGAAACTTTAATCAATGTTTTTTATCTTTCCATCACTTCCTGCGCTAAACCACAGAGTTGAGGTTAGCAGACCTTAACCTGATGTATCAACATGCAATTAATGAAAAAAAAAGCGTTCAACATATAAATGTGATGTTTTGTTCCATGTTGTCTTTTTCCTCACCCTTAATGTGAAAGTAAATTCTCTTGATATATGATCCAAACAAGGTGAAATAACATCTCATTAAGGGTTTATGTTTGTGTCCCAGAGAGCTTCACCATAAAAACATCAGCTTGGTCAACAGTGCAAAGTCAAAGATGCTCTGTAGGCAACCTTAACATCACATTTATTCATCTCTCGTGTTTTCAGCGTCTGAAACCCTCCATGAAACCAAAGCTCTCGCTGGTTTTGTTTCATGTGTTTAGGTTGGAAAGACTCAACATTTCCACTGTTGTGGCACACAGTAGCATAATCACAAGCCAATCACGTTGCTCTGACACTGATCCCTCCCACATGCAATGATTTAATTACAGTGAATCATTTTACCTCGCAGTCAAAACATCAGCCGAGTGGATTCACCAGAAAATGCTGTTTGTGCTTAATGTGCTGATGATGCTCAGAGCGGGACGTAAGTGTACTCTCAAATATTCCTACACATGTAAAGAACTAAAGTTTAACGTTGAAGAAGAGAGCATGCACAAGTCTGTCATCTCTTATATTTATGTGACAGAATGTCTTTTCAGGATGCATGAATCATCCGTCCTTTGATGAAAAGACTGCTGCAGTCGGAGACGAGGTTGAAATGAAGTGTAAGCTTGACTCTACAGGAAGCTATTTCTGGATCCGCCTCGGTTCTGGAAACTTTCCTGAATACTTAGGAAAAGCAAATGGCTTGGATGTGAAGAATTCACGCATTACAACTATGGAACAACGAGATAAGGGAGGAGAATTTATTCTGCGTATGAGAAAAGCAGAGCTGAGGGATACAGGATTTTATTATTGTATGAGAACAAATCAACGAAACTTGACTTTTCTGACAGGAACAAACCTGACAGTTAAAGGTGAGCTAATTATAATTTACACTAATTTAGCTATTTGTAAAAGATTGTGTTGAGAGTTGACAGAATTACATTTAAAAATCAGATTTGAATCTCCCAGCAGCACAACCTGGAGACGCTGCAGTCCGTCCTCCTGATCCGGTCGGTCCGGGAGACTCAGAGAAGAAGCAAACCTGTCCAGGAGAACACAGTGCGTGCTGCTTCAGAGCCGGATCACATCAGTCTCATCCAAGATGGAATTTCACTCCAGAGAACAGTGTTAAAGGAAGTGAAAGGAACCCGGCTGGAGTCTCGATAAAGAAATGTATTTGCAGTGTCACTCAGAACTTCAGCTGTTCTGGTGAGGGGACTTACTTCTTTGCTGTGGACACGTGTGAGGAGAAAACTTCTGGAAACAGATCAGACTCGGCCAAACAAGGTAAATGTTTCCTTGGTGTTTGAAATGATGAGTTCAGTGCCCTGACTTGTATTTACCTTAGTCTATGAAATAAGCCTTATTTTGGACAGTCGTCCAACTAAGACGAGCCTTTAGGTTCAGGTTCACTGACTTTATTGGTACCACTTAGGTTGCAGTGAGAATCACATATACTTCATAAAACACAGATGATACATAAAACAAATGCAAAGTGCAAATGCAAGGTACATTGGTAAAAGTGCAGCAGTGCATAAAGTGCAGTTTCTAATCGTACAATTTGATAAACAAGTTTATATGTAAAAGTTACTGATTGTAAAACAGTGTAACCCGTAACCCTAACCCAACAAATATATAATAATTTGATAAATAAATGAAGCATTAAAAAGCATGACATCAGCTTCCCAGCATGCTATCTCTGTCCCTCCATACAAGATCTTCATGAAATTACAACAACCACATCAAGCAGCAAAGAAGAAAAGCATCATACAGAGATATCCTTCGACTTGTTCTGCGTAATAACGGCTGCTGGGGGGTGCTGGTGGTGGAGTGGATGGTGTGCGTCCCCCATGTGTTGGGGCTGTGGGCCTTCGGACAGCACACTGGGTTCGGGTCAGACCTGAGACTCCTTTCCCACGTGTCGTTTCCCTCTCTCTTCTCTTTCTTTTCAACTGTCCTGTCTCTACATTAAGGGGCACAAGGGGCCCAGAAAGAAATCTTTCAAGAAATAAAACAAGTTAGCTATTATTATTTAATTCTTTTTCAAACAAACTCTCCTGCACAGAAGATGGAAAATACTAAAAAAAATTGTAAATAGCAACCAAAAAGAATATTGTGGATATCAATAAACAAATTAAGTTACTAATGAAGAATTTTCTTTTGGTTTTTAAGATGGCATGGCTGGTATGCACACGAGCACAGGTTTAAGTTAATCTTTATTTTCTCCTGATTTTGTATCCACTAACTGATCAACACTAAATGCATGAGGGCCTGTAATTGAGACCTGGCTTCATTTGTCAAAACATGCAGCTACAGCAGGCTAGTTAAAGGGACGGGGCTTTAAACTGCAATGTTTAAAGCTTGATCCAAAGGCAACTGAAGTCTTTGATAGACAGCGTCCAGAGGGTGTTGAGTTGAGGCTGCAGTATGTCTATAACTCCCAATTTCCACATACTGTGTGCACGCCACAGTCTTCATTTGTTTCTGAATAGAAAGCCGACATTTTGTCGCAACTCGGAGACAAGTGTTCACATGGAACGCTAATTGTTCAGAATCTGCATACAATACAAATAGTGTCGTCTGCATAGAGATGGGCATGACAACCATCAAAGAAGAAACAATATCGCTCATATACACAGTGAAAAGCATGGGGCCCGAGATTGAACCTTGTGGACAAGAGGACATTTCCCCCTTTACTACCTTTTCAAACAGTCCCCCTGTGGTCTAAATGAAACATTTGTGCTGTGCTTTGGTCAAAATATAACATGAATCTGGGGCGCGCTGGCGGCGCAGTGGTTAGGGCACGCGTCCCATGTATTGAGACTCTCGTCTTGAGTGGGAGGCCCGGGTCCACCCATGGCCTCTCTCCGCATGTCATTCCCCGCTCTCTCTCCCTGGTTTCCGACTCTATCCACTGTCCTATCTCTGCATTAAAGGCACAAAAAGCCCAAATATAAATCTTTAAAAATAACATGAATCAAGCACCAGAGGAGGTTTGTGACCCTGTATAAACCAGCTCTCTCAGAACGCTCCGTTTTGGTGTGTGTGTCTCTTTAAATGTAATGACCCCCCCTGAGTTTTCCCAGTAGTCATCACTCCTCTGTAGAGAGAATAAAAATGTGCGGACCTGCTCAAAAGTTTTGTTCTAGTCTGGGGTGGAGTCCATGGGTGAGATACCAGCGGATGGAGGTTATTTTTTTTTTATCATAATCCCACTGTGACATCACAAGGAGAGCACATTTGAGATGAAGCATGTTTCTCTGTGTTGTAAGACTTATGCAGACCACAACAAAGGACTGGATGGGTTTATTTCACATGTTGTGGTCAGTAGACTCTCAGGTTACCCAAATATATGTTCAAAAACACTGAAAAGTGAATTTTTCACAGCATGTCCCCTTTACATGAGTCTTAATCACTATTACTTACTTTGATTTTTTGCTTATTTTTGTCCAGCAGTGAAGGAGGACTCAAAACAGACCACCGTTCCTCCTCCTGTTAAGTGCTGCTTCTCTATATGCCTCATAATTATCGCCTTTCTTATTTATTCGATAAAAAGCTCAAGAATGCATCTTGTGGTTGTTGCAATGTAAGCAGAGTCCCTAGTACATCAATCAATTAAACGATTAAAGACGAAACTCAGTCTGTGTTTTATTATATACAGCTACGTCGCTCTGCAGGACGAGCAGAAACACAGTGGTGATCAGCAGAATCAGCAGGTAAGTAAACCGAGAGAGATGTCATGTAAATTGTCAACGCTGCTATCCCCTAACAATCCTCTTTTTAATTATTTAGGTGGATGAGGACTCGTTATTTATTCCGCACCAACCTTCACGAGCAGAAATCTGCAGAGCACGAACAAGAGATGTACAAACTGAGGAGAAAGAGAGCATCTAGCCCATGTCAGGATTGTCGAGGAAATGAAACTCTAAAAAAACTATTTACGACTTCGCTATGGACTGCTTGTGCCGTTTTTTGTCCCTCTTTGGGGAATATTTGATTGCAGGAGAAAGATGAGAATAGGCTTCCTTTTGAATAACTTAAAGACGTGTTTTACTGCATTCATTTACATTTTGTTGGGAAATGAAACCCAATGATTCAAAATATCTGTTTTGTTTTCAGCAATAGACCCACAGCATAAGAGCTCGTGTCCATGACAGCGTTTCACTAGATGTGTTCACAAGGTTAATACTAAGTGTTAATATGTTACCTTCTCCATCGCCCACGCTACACATATTTGTCACAAATGTTTACATAAAATATGTTGATTAATTAAAATTAACTAAACCCATGTTTATACATTTATTGTTGAGTACTTGCATTACCTCAAATTTTTCCAAAAGTTATCAAAGCCAGGAATCTGTAATTTTATAGTTGACATGGTCCGTGTCTTTAGCGACCCCATGACAGACACAAAATGTTATCGTTGTCAAGGAAACACCAGATGTTACGCCAAAGACGCTGCATAAGCTAGCGGGAGCTGCTACTGAAAGCTGTCGTACTGTTGCTGTATGTGCTGCAGTGATAAAAACGTCATGTAAATTAAACTCAGATACATCATTGGAAAAACATATTCTCTTTTCAGGTCGGTTTACTACGATCAACACAGAGTCATTTTCACCAGGGGGGGAAGGGGGAGTAGCAGAGAGAATCATTCCCATGATTCCCCGCCGCTTCGACATTATCTTTCTTATTGTTTTGATTGAGAGCCCCTGGTGGCGGATTTTACATACTGTGCGTTTAACAGCACTATGTGCAGTTAACGACCTTTGGTCGTGCCAAAATGGACCAACTAATTTCCTACATATTGTTGCTTTAAACAACTGGCCTGGATGAAAAGTTGAATTTGAAGAATATATCTTTATTCTTCCCTGAGTAAATTCTGTGTTTACACTCTGTTATTGAGAGACAAACATAGCCTAAATGACACACATGCACAAACAGACCTGTGACATGCACTAGGGAGAGATGTCAGACACACTGCTATGCAGGGAGCGCACCAAATGCAAATGCTCATTAGCTCTGGTTCATGTAAGGTCAGTCTAAAAGGAGCATTAGTTCAGCCTGACTTTTAAGACCTCTGAAGGATAACGATTAAGAATCCTTCTTTAAATAAGCCACCCTGTTTATCTTCCAATATGTAAAAGATGTGAAGTATCACAGATGAGAACTGGAAACAGCAACTGCTGCTTCAAGGAAGAAGCAATCACCAAGGGAAGGAAAGTGTGCAAAGGTCACAATCGCTCGTCTTGGCTAAAAATGATGTAAGAGCTGTAATATGCTCGCCAAGACCAGGCTGACACCTACATGACAGGATGTTCACTTTTGTATGTATTCTGTGGTAACCAATCAGATCCATTGACTGTTTGACACATGAGCTTCATTTCCTTCACTTGCTGATGAACCAACACATTATCAAGAAAACCGAGTCAAGATGAAGCTGTTTTGGGTTACTCTGCTTCTTTTCAGCGAGGATGTAAGTAATCGTTTTCTCATTCTCAGCACGCCAACTGGAACCATCAGCAAGAATACACATCGTTCTCTGCATTTAATTCTATGTTTTGATTCATCCAGCACACATGTTCCAGTGACCACGGTTCAACTCGGTGAACCTGCGACCTTAAAATTGCTCTGCCCAAATCGAGATCACCACCGAAACTGAGCTGTACAAGCAGAGCAACGGATACTCTGACGTTAATGGTGACTTGCGGAAAGCTATAAAACCCATCTTCTCACCAGATTCTCAGAGTCAAGATTTAGGTCAAATATGACCACCTCCAACAACCTGACCATCCTGAGAACGAGTGAAGAGACGAGGGAATGTATCACTGTGCGGTCACTGAGTGATCAGCAAAACTGAATGGAGCGGAACTTATTTGTCGTCAAAGTAACCATGTGATATATTTTTACACGTTTTACACGTTCAAAGCTATCTAAATCTGCTGTATAGAAAAAATCTGCCCCTAATTATCTTATATTGACATCCAATATCACCTTCAGCAGCTGCAGCCCTGTTCATAAATATCAAATATGAAATCCAGTTTCCGAACTTTAACCCTTTAATAACACAAAACCTGATTTGAATACTAACAATGTGCACATGACAGGATCAGCAGAGAGATAAATGTGCTAAATGTAGCTTTACAATATTTTTATAGTTGTTAAAACCATTCTGTATGTGAAATATACTCATTTGTCTTAACTGGAGTTCCATCGATGTTCGAGTGGTCATAATCGATAAACCAGCTCCACATTACTCCATTTCAGTGCCAATCTGCCGAGTTTGAGTACAGTCAACCTTTCTGCTGATCCTCATTTTAAACTCACATTAGTTACAATCTGGATGCCAAATAAACATGGGTAAAGTTCAGATCAAGCATCTACATAACCGCTGAAACCTCTTACATTTACTCTCTTCTCCAAGCAATGGAGAACAGCCCTCCCCTTGCAGCCCTGCAGTGTTCTGCCCCCTAGAAGTCTTATAGAGAGCTGGCCAATCAGAAGAGAGTGGCACTGGGGAGGGACCTTAAAGAGACAGCAGCTGAAATGAAGCGTAAAGGCAGAGGCCCAATTGAGGCTTGTTGTCCGTTACTTTATTACTTCAAACAGCAGTGTGTGTCTCATGGTCTCGCTGAATCGTCTCGTTGTCAGAGATTATGAAATGAAAATGAGTCGAGACTGTCTCATGTCTGTGGTCTCTCAGCTTTTTATAATTAGATCAGATTTGAAAATATTCTGGTATAAAGTCAGCTCTATGCCATCAGAGCAGACCTTTTTTTTTCTACATGAAACAAGGTTTTCTGTTTTGACCT